GGCGCAGCATCCTCTGCCAATGCAGACCCTCCTGGAACCTCTTCGTCGTCGTCCGCCAGGTCTCTGAGCCCGTCGGCAAACTTGTTCTTGCCTCGTGGCTTGATGGTGACCTTGGTCCCCGAGGCGCTGACAGTGGGCTGCGGCGTGGATGCGCGCGAGGAGCCGCTGTCGCCCGTAGCTCGCCCGTCTGCACTCGACCTCTTGATCGACAGCTTGACCTTGATGCCCGACTTCGGCTTGTCAGGTGCGGCATTTGCCTTCTTCTTGCCCCTCCCTGCGGGCGACGGCTTATCGGCGTGATCTGTCAACGGAGAAGGCGAGCGCAGCTTGGCCGTAGCCTTGCGGTTTCGAGTCGATCCTTTGCGGTTCAAGCTCGGCGTGCCTGTCGCCGGTGCTTGCGCATCATCAGCGGGATCGGCGGACTCAGACGCTTTCGGGGATGCTTTAGGCTTGCGAGATGAAGAAGGCTTGGAAGACGTTTCAGCCGCAGTCTCGGTCACTCTTGCCGAGGAACGCCGCCGCGCGGCTGAACGACCCGCAGGCTTGGGCGCATCATCAGCAAGGTCGGAGCTCGGTGGCTGAGCTGGCTCTGGCTCTGAATCTGGTGACGCAGCTCGCGGTGTGCTGGCAGGGCCGGGCGTTGGAGGTGCCGAGATGTCGGACAGATCTGAGTCGCCGAATGCATCCATCGTGTGGGTCGGGGGGCACCGGCTGAGATGTGGTCGTGTAGGTGACGATGGACGGAAGGAGGCAAGTCAGATGGATTCTCGCAAGGGTTCAAAGCTAAACGCGCTCCGAAGACCGCGACTTTGCCGCGCAGCTCCAATTTCCCATGTGGAGTTGAGAGCCCGGACCGCCTGCGAGCTCTTCTTCACTTCCGCACAGCTATCCGCACCCCTTCCTGCGGCCGTTCCACCCTCACTTCGACGCTGAGCACGGTCAAGAGTCAGACGAAGGGCCACGAGAGCCATCGTATTATCCATGCAACAAGCGAGAATCAATATGGTATTGACGCTAAGGATATCTTCACGACTCACTGCGCCGCCGCTGCAGCTTCGCCGCGGATCGACTTGAGCTGGCTGCCAAAGGTGACGAGGATGTTTTTGAGCAGCTCGTACATGCCGTGTGCGCCCTGCGTGTCGAGCCAGTCGAGCAGGTACGCGCGGAAGTCGGTGTGTGTCCATGCGGCGGGCATGCCGTTCTTCTTGGCGCTCTTGATCGTCTTGGGCGTGATCGGCCCGCGGATCCACTCGTCCTCGCCCGTAGCTTTCTTGCCTTGGCCTGCACAATAGACGTTGGCGAAGCGCTCCGAGAGATGGCTCATCGCACGCGAGAAGGGCGTGTTGGAAAGCGTGGCCAGCTTCAGGTTGAGATCGTCGCCCCGCTGCGTGAGTTCGTTGAGGACAGATCTGGACAAAAAAGAAGGGGGGGGG